AAGAAAAAAACAAGTTGCTCTGGGAGATTAGCTTTTGAAGTTGGCATACAAATTGACTCTGGTCAATGCCGCAATTTCCTTGCTGGAGGCTTTTTCAATAAGGAGTAAGACGCTACGGTATTTTGTAAGACATATCGGTGGATCTATCATTATGCGGCGCAGTGTATAAGCTTGGACTCGGAGTGCATAATTGGCTAGGTTGCTATTATGTTTCAGTATAGCGCAAAATGTGCAGCTCAGAAAATGAAGAGATTCCTTTCAAATTTTGAAGGGCGCCTGTCGAAGCCAGACTAAAGTGACGGAGGAGAGCTCGGCGTCAGTCGAACGATCAGACCGGTATCATCAGCAAGCTACTATAGTTAATGTGAGTGCTGCCTAGAAATACGGCTCAGTCAAAGGTGCGTTAGGTATCAATCAAACTAACAGCAGTTTAGGAGGGCACACGTATAGGCACATGTACGTCACGCATAAATCATATAGCTGCGCATTTGTGCATGAGTATGTGCCTGTGTACAAGCTAACCCAAAATTATGAGCTTAACATGAGCATCAGTCCCACATCATATGATCTTTTAGTTTCATAGGCTCCGAATAAGTCAGAATATTTCTAGGATAATTTTCAAAAATTATTATTAAACATTTGTTTCTCCTCCTTCAGAGCACAAATAGAGGTAACTCTACGAATAAGTTACCGTCTAAGGGCACGAGCGGAACGGAAACCAAATTATCACTTGGCACCTCCACCCCTTCAGTGATCACGTATGTTTATCCACCTAGAGTCGTTTTCTAAAAATATCAATAATTCACTGATAAGTCATGATAACCTATTTTGTGCGCAAGAGCACGGCTACCGCACGGTGACCCATCCATTTCTCGATTCTGTAGACTGACACAAACTGGTGACAAAAACAAACTCGTATAATCGTGACTTTGTTTCTCTTCCTTATAATGTCAAGAGCACCGAGCTCCTCATCGGCATTTTTTGCACACGCCCTACCAGTCATTGCAGTCACTCCATGCTTTAGAAGTAGATCTCCACCAGGTTCCAGCGCGTTATACCGCATAACTTTGTCGAAGGCACTTGCAACCTTACGCAAAACGTTCTTNTCCCCCATTTGAACTGACGTGGTATAAGTGTTGTGGCGCTGGCGTTGTGCGAAGCACACGCAACAAGTGATGACCATGTGAGTGGAGCAATAAAGCGGTAAGCAGCAGTGAAAGGATAGTATCAACAGCAAGAAAGTAAAAGACTGGAGCTTCAGGCTCAGCAGGTCAAATAACACAATTTTCATGGTCGTACAGTGATGTGCTCGGCTCCGCTTCACGGCAAGATTTATACTATCCCAAGTGACCAAGCAGTATAATTCCTACATTTTGAATGGCAAAAGTGAAAGTGTGAAAAGGCCAATACAATGTTTATCTGCAAAGAATTTTCGACTCTTTGTCAGCAATGTCTTGCAACCAACAAAAATAGAGAATTCGAAGAGCTACAGCCGTTTTAAGATCAACTACTGACATCCTCTCCGGCCAGCGGTTCAACGCCAATAGGCAACAAATCCAGTTTGGGACGAGGAAGACCGTACAGAGGTGAGATCTGCCGGAACTGCTCCATGCATGTGATTTTCTCCTAGAACGAACTGGTTCGATTTTGGCTACTTTTATGATAATAATAGATTGCATGGTTGTAAGAGTTCATAGTACACCAAAGGTGGCACGCAACGTTTTGCTGTGCTTCGAACAGTTTCACCACCTTCCTAAACGAAAAAATGAAAAAATATTTAAAGCTTATTTGAAACCTCATTCCGCGTCTAACCATATGAGCCAAGCCACCCAAATAACTGGGCTTTTCCCTGCTCAATGCGACATGATGGCTTATTGAGGAGTACTTAATGTGAGTGACTTCGCCTACTGTCATTGCAGTATTCCCTTTTTTGAGCTGATCAGCATATAAGCTGACGCCAGCAAGTCATTGTGAAAGCCACATCAAAGAGAAGAAGGCGAGTCGTTTGATTACGTGATGTGCCTCAGTCGCGCTGATCGGCGTCAAACAGTCATCTCCTACTTGTGGTCTTACACGAAGCAATCGAGCTTGGGGGTTTGGCAAAGAGCTCCGACGTGGACGTGTTTGATACCCTCGAGGTTTATGAAAGAAAAGAACGGAAAACCTCATGAATCTCCCGAGATCCCTAGAAGGAGCACGTGCTGGTATGAGACATGTGAAACTGATGTAGGCTGCAAAATAACAAGGAAAGCCACTCACAAGTTTTTCTTGGCCATCGACTCCTGTCTCCTCTACACTGCCGTCACCTCTGTCGCCCTTGCTGTGAACGAATACAGCCATCTAAATGTAGTTTTTTATTGTAACGAAAATGTTGGTTTACCGGAATAAACACTTTGTTGAGTGATGCTAAGTAAAAAACTAAGCGATCAGTTGTAGTTAAGAAACCTATCCCTAACCCAGAAATTGACGGAACTACGACTGCACCATTAGGAGTCTCCCATGTCTCGGAAGAATGTCTACAACTCTTACGCTCCAACTGGAAGAAGTCCCAGGTTCGTTTCGTCACTATGCATGTTCTGGGGTCACTTAGGCTCATGGAGCTAAGCCGCGGTTAGTATAGGTTGGAAAGAAAGTCCTGTCAGTGTTTTTTAGATAGCCTACAGTTTTTGATCTTCGAAGCTCGAACATGACGTAACATGCTATGGTTGTAGAACATTCTCGAAGCTTTTCCACAAGAGGTATATCAAGGCTCCTGCTCTTCCCTGTGTTTATTTATGATGTCAGTTTCACTGGAGCAGCTTTGAGTGATCATCTTCTATGAGTGGCGCCGCGGCACTGGAGCGACGGCAGCGGCCCGTAACATCAACTGTGCATTGGGGGAGGACACCACCACGGTCAGGACTGTCCACCGTTGGTTCGCTCGCTTCGCGAAAGGNGAGACGATCTTCGAAGGCAAACCTCGTCTGGGACGTCCTCGCGGCGTAGAAGATTTCGCCGTTCGCGAACCTGTCAGAGAAGATCAAAGGCTACCACGCGCAGTATTGCGACAAGCTTAGGTGTAGCATATCAGATAGCTCTAAGCCGCCTTCAGCCCTTGGCACAGAAAAGTCCTTCACGCGATGAGATACCTCATGCTCGATAACAGATTGGCACGCGTCTAGCCAGTGCAGCATCTTCGATCTCCTTCTACGCCGATAACCGGAAGGAGTTGTGTGGAAGATATATTGTGGCTGGAAGAGAAAACTGGGTCCTCTATGACTCAACCGTACGTCGTGCCCATGTGGGTCTCCTGAGCGATAGAAGACACACACTGACAACCCAGATCCGACCTGCACTCCAGAGAAGTGTCTGCTCTGCCCTCTCTGGCGGTTCGGAAAGGGCATGGCTGCCACCACGAGCTGCTTCCGCAAAAGGCATACGGGTTAACGCTACCGCCCCTTTACGCGGACCAACCTCCAGAAACTCGCGCAAGCTTTTCTAGAAAGCGGCCGAGACGAGACTTCGGGCGCACCTCCTGCATGATAACGCCAGACCATCAGGTGTGGGCTAAAGAACCCACCGAGAAATGAGGAGCTAGTGCTGCGGAGACGATCCCCAATCCACCAATTCTCCAGACCCTAGCCCCTCTCCTGACTACTGTTGTCGCTCCTCAAGCTTTCCATAGGTAAGGAACCTTCAGCGAATTTGATGGCACAATCGAGAAGTTTGCCTATTCTTCGACTCGCAGCCTCCTCAATTCTGAAGAAGGGAGAGCTGATTGCCCATTAAGTGGAGACTGTAGTAATCTAACAAATGGCGATTAATATTGTTGATAAGTTTTCATTTCATGCTGAGTTAGAAAATAAAAAAGAAAAAACCAAAACAGTGACAGACTTGTCTTTCCAACCTTATACTATGGAGATGACGTCAAATTGGTCAGCCTGACCGTAACCGAACGTCGCCTGCTTCTGCGGATTCCGAGGGAGTCTGCCGAACGGCAGTGTATATTTATTATTCGCAGTATCACTCTCCGGCGTTCTCAAGTGCGAGAATGTTGTACAGCTGACAACCATTCTTCTCGCACACGGTAGGGATTCAGAGAGTCGAGCGTACGTTTTTTTCTTGAGTACAGCAGACTTCGTTCGCAATCAGTCACGAGCTGGGTGTAGATAGGATGCCACACGCGGTTGCTTCATGCTCTTTAGGTCTGGCGTCCCTATCCCGTGTATCAATTACATACTCGGGAGAAAACGCTGCGTGAAAGGTAGTGAATATATCTACGATGATGAATATAAAACGCATGACTTCAAACAGGCAATGAAAATCGCATTCCTGCTTTGGGGAGCATGCCATCTTTTTAAGTCACCACATGTGTTCATTCTAGATTGCCTGATTGGTAGACCAACGAGGAGTTAATGGAACATCTTGCGGATGAAAAAATCTGGATAAGTTACCAAATTTAGTGGCAACTGCAAAAAGTGACAAAATGTGGCTCTCCGTCGGTGGGTCGGGTAAAATAACTGCTTGTGTGTTAGATCAAGATAGTGTACATTTATCGTTTATCAACAAGCTGAAGAGTTTGTTTCATCAATACTGCTTGCCTTTCTTGGTTGTTCCACAGCTGAGAGCTCACATAGTACTGCTAGTGGAAAATTCAGAGCAAATCGGTTCGCAGTTCGTAATCATGTTAAACTGAACGTTTTTTGTCAATGGCACGACGTTGAGTGCGATGGTTGGATGGGGGTGTGGCAGTACCAGCGATGTCTAGGTTTCACATTCTTCAATCTCAATGTGAACTGCTCCTATTCCACAATAGATACACAGTCCGTGCTATTTGTATGTGAAGGAGTCAGGCCTACTATTGGGCTTTCCTCACTGTGTTTCCTATTTTACAGTTTTATAAGGATGGCGCATAAACGAAGGCACAATAGTCGGCGCGGCTCCGCCCGCACGACTGGTTCTGAATATGTCTCAAAGCACCACTTTTCTAACGCTTTCATAAACTGAAGATCCTTCACAGGCTGGCATTACCTAAAGATGGAGTAGGGGAAACGCGCTCACCTTTCGGCGTTGCGGTGCATTCGCTTTAAACTTGAGCTCGAAATACTTGATGATGTCGTCCTTCGTTACTGATTTCAGAGCTTCTACCTCAGCGTTCTCTATAAAGAAACCAATTTTTGGTCGAAATAGGTTTGGATGGTCGAGTATGGAACAACGAAATTTGACAGCGATTGAAGAAAAAAAAACCCACTTCTATCAAAATCGTATTTTCTGGACTGGATTTCTCTCCACAATTCATCCGAATGCGATTTCAGGGTATCCGGATTTTCCGACATTTGCGCTATCAAACCGGCTTTTGCATTCTCAAACTCCTTGTCCGCCATCATTGCGATTTCTCCCTAGCGAGGATAATTCAGAGTGGTGACTTGCAAGTCATGTGCATCTTAAGCAATTTTTCCAGAAACATTCGCTTAATATCCTACCGTAAACGCCCCACTTTTTGAGACGTGCAGGGAGTGCTGCAGTCATCATGCCTGCAAACGAGAGCACGTGTGAATGGGTGTAGGGATAACGGCTGTATATGGAATGTATGTGTACGAATATAGCGGAGGTTGAGGGTATTCCAGCAAGCTCCAGAGAGTTTTGTAACGGGCTTCGCAACGCTTATTAAAATTATGTGGTCCCAAAGCCATTGGGGGCAGTGGAAACTTCTATATCGAGAACAGCTTCACCCTCTAGGATGTTATTTAGACAAAAAAAAACTTCACCACCATTGAGAATCAGAGTCAAATGCGTTCTGTAAATGAAATCCACGCGTTGCACATTGCACAGCCCTTACCCTCCTTAGAGACTTGTTTTCCACAGTTGAACGCATGGCTTTTCAAAAGATGCGGTGAGCAGGGCAAGTCTTGCCGCTCAGGAATAGTTTCGAAAAATACGACCCCTTTCCGAACGACGAGCAAGAACGACCAATTCCCAATGCAATTCTTCAATTGATGGCGCGTGTGAAGCAGGAGAAGTCAACCACTAAAAGAATTTTCTCAGGCTAGTTATGACCCTCTTGCACCACCGACCAAATGTGATTTCCCGCTGGAGTAGCCTAACCTTGGGAACATCTGCATCTGAATTGGTTCATCATGCGACTACCGTAGTGTACCGATTCTGTCTGTAAAACACTAGCTATACCCTGTTGATATCAACTCAGATTTTTCTCTAACTAGACCTCTGTGGTCCAATCTGATACCTTCCATGTGAGCAACTTCCAAGGTTCGGCAATAACAACCATTGGTAGTAACAAAACTCACTTCCATCTTCTCGAGGAATGCCTCTATTCTTCCGTGAACGTGATCTGGACTGTGAGTACCTTGCACACGAAGCTGTAGAGCATTCGTCCCTGCATTCTGCCTTTTCACAATTTCAGCCGTGTACCCTGAGCAGTAAGATACTGTTCAGAACGATGAAGCGAAACAACTATTGTCTTCTACACGGAAAGCTAAGGGATTGTTCCTTGATAGGTGTTCCTTTGGCCACAAGTAAAAATTTCGTAAGATTCAGCAAAAACCGAGCTAAATCGGTTACAAGCATCGTATCCCCTACCCCTGATCCCCGTGCCCATCCATTTCTTCAGGCTGGCTCGCTGCCGAAGCTGTTTTCTGGAGTGAAACACTGACTCAACCCTGGCTACATTGGCAAACACTTCTGCAGGGCACGAGCACTGTGCTCAGCAGAAACATCTGCATAGGTACCCAAGGTTTATTATTTCAAAAAGGCGCTGATGTTTCAATTCAGAATGAAATTTTCCAGCCAAAGCCGCCCTCGGATATCAAAGTGACCAGGAGACTGCCCCGATTTTTGAGCACGGGGACAGTAGAGGGTGTACAGTGTTGACTTTCAAATCTAGGCAAGGCTTAAGTAGGGCAAGGGCGTAGAAGGTGATAAGGCCGAGAATGTTATACCTAATTGTTCAACAGTCCGCAGCTGAGTGAATACCGGATCTTCGAGAAGCTTGAACATGAGCGCAACTAGTGCATTTTCTCTCGTATTCTGGAATCGAAAGGATTCATTCAGACTGCACACGATAGGCTACAAAAAGTCTAAAGGAGGCACAAAAGACCTGAACTCCAGCTTGTAGTAACACATTCACGCAGGACACTTCATGAGTGTCTTGAAAATGTCGATACAAATAAGCATCACCTATAAATCAAAGCATTAGTAGCTGTCCAAATAGTGGAATGTTATCCTCATGAAAATTTGTGGTCTCGACTCAAAACTAGTTCCGGTTTCAACTGAGGCATAGTTCACGATAATTGCTCAAAAATAGTCGCAGAAATGCTAAACAGTGGGGAAACGATGGAATGCGAGGACTATTAGCCAAAAACCTGCAAGAAAGGCTCTGCTCTGTACTGCAAAGGACAAGAGTTTCGGACGAGTTCCTCGTGTTAATTCGAGGCCAAACAGGTCGTTTTGATGGATACGCTTCACATATGTTTTTTCTGCTTAGATTATCCATCAAAGCATGCACTTTAATCAGCTGAGCAACTCACCAAAAGGAGCGTAGTTATAGGTGGGCGACCGCGAATGTAGTGCGGGAGCTCAGCGTCTTGCAAATCTCTCTTGATGATAGAGTTCAGTGTGTCTACGGTGCTATGGAAAAGCGCCCAAATGCGCAAAAGGGACAGCTGCAGAGGGCACGTATGCCCTTTCGGTTCCCTTAAGGTTATACAACCCTATGCCCTCGTCCATTTTCGTGCCAGTTGCTTTAAAGGCACTGGCACGATAATTTGGTAGTAATTTGCAGAACAACGGAGCGAAGCTGCAGCCGAGTGATTGCGAAAGTAAAGGCAAAAGCGGGGTTGGAGTGGTCTGCAAACTCCCTAAAACTATGAGTCTTTATTGACTGTATTGTTGGTAGTCAGAATTGGGAGCTACCACGTTCTTTTGCTCTATAATATGATCACCCAAGGTTACGGTTCTGGCAAACTTGTGCTTCGCCGGCCCGATCCTCCCTTCCTGGTGTGATAAATGGGTCCCGGACGAGATATTGTGTTTTCGCCATCGAGCCGGAGGGCCAAGGTGCGGACTCGGCCCGGAGGGCCAGGTCGGATTCCGGCACTTAATCACACCCCAGGAGGAGGATCGGACAGGAAGCTACACGCCGATCCTTCCTTCCGGGTGTGAAGTGGTCCAACGAAGGCGGAACAGTCCTCTTCATGAGAGGGAAAAAAAAAAAGTTCTGAGAATTACCGCACTTTGCCGTTTCCATTTCTGCTAGTATATGAAAATACCCGATTTTGAAGTCTATCTCCCGCCCCCCTAGCAGAGAGTCTTCACTCAAGCAATTTTCAACCTATCAGCGCTCCAGTCCAGTTATGAGGAACCATCAGAAATAAACGGCACCGACGCACTTGGTATATCTCCCTACGGTTATCCCTTACTACACATCATCTGCCCAAGCATTGCTCATTTTCACTTACTCCCATTTCCTGGAGTTTTTCGGATGTTTTTGAGGGTTTTTATCCCTCTGGCACGTTCACCTTCGGCGCAACGCCCTGCCGCATTCGTGGGTTGTGCTTCATTCAATTCACCGGTTCCCGCCAACTGTTTTGCGGCTATCGGTTTCCCAACACAATATATAATTCCGGAGAATCTCCGACGAGGAGTCGCTTCCTGGAACCGAATTACGAATTTTGAAGTGTAGTTCAGCGAGCAACCAGACCCACCGATCAGCACGCCCTCCGTCCCCATACACGGAGGATGACTAACTCTTCCTCAATTTATCTGTCCACACTGGACTGCTTATCCGTCATATGCCTACAAATTTTCCGCTCTCCGGGATCTTAATAGACACCGAAACACGCATTTTTGAAAGTCTCTGTGCGACAGCGCGAGCACGCTATACTATAATCACGCCCGTCGTCGTCATCCACGGCCGTGTGACTCCGCTCATTTCATCTTGCCCAACTGACTGCTTATCGTTTCCACAATTTCGACTCTCTCTGGGACTCTTAGAACCCGAACTACCGAAATTTTTGAAAGTTCTGTGCGAGCAGCCGCCCACCTATATCCGGACGCCCCGTCCCATCACGGGTGGTGGACTCCTCCGTATCATATTTCTTAAACGTCCGCCCAACGCTGACTGCTTATCCTACCCCACCACAATTTTTCCGCTCGCTCGGGATCTTTTCTAGAATATCCTGGACCTACTAATTTTTTGAAATTATGCGTAGCTCACAACTGTGCGGCAACAAGCGCTCCTGCCCACAGTGGGACGGGGTTCTTGAGGCTCAGTGCTTTATTCACGTGTGTTCCGTACATCCTTGGCCCATGCCCTACCGAGACCCAACCCTTTACGACGGCCGTCCCCTTCTCGCTGGCTCTTCAAGGTGATTCCGAATTTTCGGACAGACAGACAAGACAGACAAACAGACAAACAGACAACAGACAAACAGCAAACAGATCAGACAGACGTTTGTCGTTTATTATATAGTAGGAAGGATCGTCATTTTGAACCATGTCAACGAGAAAAAATCGCGGCGATAGCACACACGAAATATGAGGACACATTATTCCGAGCAGTAGCAAACCTCGCGACATTAACAACACGGGTCCTTGAGAGGAGCAGGGACATACTAACGGCATTTTCACGAAATTGTTGTGGGAGAAATTTGAGGTATTCTCGATACACACAAACTTACTCTTCAGAAAGAACACTCAAGAACCTAAAAAGCGCCAGTTAACAGCAGATTGGGTGAAAACAGCTGCTCCGACCGTGATGATTGCTGGCCGGCCATTCGTGGGCGTTTCGGTGTCGCAGAGGGTACGGTTGATACATAAACCTCGCTAGGATGCTGAGAGACCACTTATCGCCGGTAAAGACATCATCTATCCCTTTCTCAGAAGCGCGGGATCTTGCGGTGATCGGCGTGTTCATCTTACACGCCTAGGAGAATTATCGTGAACTTCGCCTTTGAAGCAGTGAGTGTGGATGGATTAAATCAAACCGTCTTTTATAGCATATTCTCTCGATAATATGTATTCGTTCCTGAACATTGGCCGACAGGTAGTGGCATTGCGTAGCATGTTTGTCACCGTGAGGCCGAGTGATAGTGCCTCCTAAAAGAAAGTCTTGATATTCACTGCGCGACGAAATGTGAACATATGATTCTCATCTTTTATGTGTCTATACCATATTTTCGCACAAGATTAGGCTCAAATAGCTGGAAACGACAATCTTCGTCTTTTCCCTGGCCTCAATCTCGCTCCGTTGCAGTGCCCGCTGTTCTTGTTAACAGTAGCCATCTTCTCTCATCCAGAGGGACATGCCGTGGCCTCACCTTTTCTTCGAAGCTCATCGTGGTCGCTTGCCTTGTGCTTCGAAGCACAGTGCTTTCCCTATCAAGTGTTTCTCTGGCTTTCTCAGCACGTACAATACATGTAGACCCACCACCTTGTCCAAGCACACTTACTCGAGCTTTTACTACCTGGTTCTCGCTACCATGATTAGCCAGATAGCTTGCCAGGTAGCGGAAGTTCTCTTCCCTTTCGAGAGACTCTCCATGACTGTCCTGGACAGACCCGTTCCACTCTTCGGAGCTCAGGAGCTTGGTCCTCTCGATATTCACCCGGAGGCCCTTCTGCCATTTTTGCGCCCTCCCAGTTCTTCTCCGCTTTCAGGGCAATGTAAACGCCGCAGAGGATGTGCTTGGGAGTCCCTTTCTTTGTCATGACATACAGGGTTAGGGAAGAGGAGCAGGCTAAGAGCTGACCCTTTTTGACTCCAACCCATGTGTCTACATCACTTCTAAGGCCGTGCAGGATGCGTACAGTCGCCTTTGCCCCATCGTACGTGTTCCTCACCAGGGAGATGAATTGGAAACATTGAATGAATTGGAAAACTGGGGAACATTAAGTTTTCTGAGAGGACTCCAGAGTACAGGCCGCGGAAAGCGATCAAAGTTCTTCTCTAGATCTAGGAAGGCCAGGTATCAAGAGCAACGCTTCTCTCGATACTTCATCACCTATCTGGCGATGAAGATGGCATCTGTAGTGGAAATTTCGAGCATGAAGCCGACTGTTCCCATGAGACTGGAACGAGGTCTCTCAGTCTGGTGTTGACTGACCACACGTACAGCTTCAAGTTCTATACGCTCCCGAGGGATTCTCCGTCACTGTTCTCGATAAAATCGTTGAACTCTCAGGAGCTCAGGAGCTTTGTCAACTCAAAGTTCAATTGTAGGCCATTTTCAGCCACTATCTCTTGCCATTTCCGCAACTTCCCTTGAAGTTCTTCTCTGCTCTCTGCTATCAAAGCAATGTCATCTGCGCAAATGATGGTCTCAAGTGGCCCCGCCAAGAGTTCCTTTGCCGTGACATCCAGGGTTAGTAGGAAGAGGAAGGGGTTGAGAGCTGGCCCTTGGTATGGCCAGCCCTTAGGTCCAACTCCCCTGTGAGGCCGGCGAGCGCATACAGCCGCTTGCCCTATCGCATACGTTCTCGTGCGAAGTGCGTACAGCCACCTTTCCACTGCAATGTAATTCACCAGAAAGGTGAGGTGCTCTGGAAAATTCCCTTCTCTGAAAGCCCACCCAGTGTACAGGATGCCATAAGCGCGATAGGTGATTGAAAACCTTCTCGAGAACCAAAGTCTAGGTGGCAGGTCGACGTTTCTCTCGATTCGACTTCACCATCATCTGCCTGGCGATGAGTATGGCATGCATAATGGACCTTTTGGGCACGAAGCCAGACTGCTCTCGCGGGATCGGAACGAGGTCCCTCGGTTGTCTAAACTCTTGCACAACTTCATGATATGCGCGGTAGTTTAAGCTCTTTTCCCTTTGAAGATGGGGACAACTGTAAAGCACCTGCGAGCATGCGACACTCTTCCTTAAAGGCAGTTGGCACGATAAATCGCTGTACAGGTGTAGGATTTGTACAACTGGCCGAACAGAATTCCGTGACTTCGGACAGCCGTTGCGCGAAGCCTTTTCAAAGGAGGGTACCTCTATAACGCCCTA